TGATCAAACCGAAGAGATTGGATCGGATGAATTTTGCTTCCAAAACCGATCCAATCCAGACCGCGAACACCCCTAGTCTTTCCCCAATCATAGCCCAAAAATTTCTAACCTCAAGACCCATTAACCCATCAACTAAACTCAAGAAAAAACATAATCACATCTCATCAACTATATTATCGTTTATTGATGCTTTTTTTTTTCAAAAAGAAATTTTTTACAAAGCCAATATATACAAAAGATGTTATTTGCACAACAATAATTAATTAAATTTTAGAATTTTCAAAAAATCGAAAACCGATCCAATCCAAACCGAAAAAAATTGGATTGTATCGGATCGGATTTGAAAAAAAATTTAAATCGAATGGATGATTACATGATCAAACCGAAGAGATTGGATCAGATGATTTTTGCTTCCAAAACCGATCCAATCCAGACCGCGAACACCCCTAGCATGGATTGTTGTAATGGGCTTGGATGGTCCAAGACATTATTAATTAATTTAATTAGTTAATTAATTATCTAATGTTTAAATTTAAAATTTAAATTATGAATTTGAATTTTGAATTTAAATATTTGAATATTTAAATTAGAATGTTCAAATTTGAATTGGCTATGAAAGGAAGTTTCATAACAAAAGGAAAGGATAAGATCTTGATAGTATCTTGTCAAGATCAAATCCCAAGTATCAAGAGGAGATCTTTGGAAATCATCAAAGATGATTGGGGCGCTGATTTGGTGGCTTAATGATGGTCATTTAATCAACAAATCAAGCTCCATTCAGATTTGGTTAGTTGTGAAAATATTTGATTTAGTTGATTCAATTTGAATTGCAACTAATCAATATTTTTGGAATGATTTTGGGCTGATTGGGGCGCACAATATGGCTGATCATATAATGGTTATTAGGATAGAATATTGACTAGGTGCAGACTTAGTTTTAAGAGGATAGGATAGGAGTTTGTTGACTAGATTTGATTTGCAACAACTCCACTATTTCCTCCACAAAAGGGGCGCTCCATGATTAGATTTTTGGTGAAAAATCTGATTCAAATTTATTCCTCTCTCATCTCCTTAAGTGTTTCCTTTTTGTGATATTCTCCTTAGGGTTTTTGGAAAATAAAAAAAGGCCATTCTTTTCTACAATTTGTGTGACACTTTTTGTGAGTTTTATTGCTGAAAATTCTCTCATCTAAACATATTGAAACCGAGCCTCCTACCTCTTCACAAGGGACGCCTAGCTTGCTCCTTTGTGGTGTTCGAGTTGGTGGCTTTTCAAGAAGAGTTCTTGCGTCTTGACAAAGGGTGGTGTGGATCAACATTAGAGGGTTTGAACCTTCAAGCCTAACACTGATCACCTTCGAGTTTTGAGTTACAAACAAGGTATCTCTCTGTCCTAGAGTATGTATCTTGATTGATATGTGTGTTTCCGCTTTGAAAATTTTTGTTTTCATCCTCACATGCCTACGGCCTTCAAGGCCCTTTCTTTCAGCTGCCACTTTGTTACAGTGCCTCTCACCCTCTCTTTTTGCTTATGTGCCTCATTCTCTTATTCTCTCATTCAAAGCACTTAAACTCCTACCTTGTTCCATTGCCAAACAAGCACTCAAGGTTGTCGGAGTCAAGAAGAAAAAGATATTTTCGTTGTTGTTGCGAATATTGTGTAAGTCATAGTTAGAGGGGCTTAGAGAGATTTGACCCTACAAGTAAGAAGTTCTTCATCTCTGTTGCATAGATAATATAGATCACTGTTAGAGCAGCTTGAAAAAATTCAACCATACAAATTTTTTTTTCTTGGATTAAAGTGCCAATTGTATGAACTTTACACCTTATCATAAATTCTATTGAGTTTTTGAGAATGCATGATTGATGCAAATGTTGCATCTTTTTCCATTTTGGACATTAAAAGTTCATGTTTTGCTGTGCATTAACGATCTATATGTGATAAAGATCCCACCTTTATCCACTTTTAATATAGGAATGTCACAAATGTGGGCAAGAGACATTACGTTTGCAAATTTTTAGCCATAAACAAAGTTTAGATTCGTGTAACTATAAAGAATTAATTAATTAACCTATATAGTTTGTACTTATATTTAAGAAAGAGAAGGAAAGTTGCAAGGTTTTTGTCTAGACCATCCTTTAATCAAAAGTTATGCTTCAAATCAAAGTCTCTCTTTCTTCCTCCATTGGTGGCTTTTTCTGGCTCCCAAAGCCATGGTTATACTCAGAAAAGGTACAGTTGTTTAATCAAAACTTGCAATTATTTCTGAGGTCTGAAAAGATTAGGTTTGGTCAAACTATATTGACAAAATTACCCTTCTAAACCGTTGGGATTTGAATTTTGGGTGCGTAGTCAAAACATTCTGGCATCATATTATCTAATGAAAAAATGGTACCTAGTTAAGCTAAGAATATTCTCAATACTCTCGTATAGGGGTGTTCGCGGTCTGAATTGGATCGGTTTTGGTAGCAAAACTCATCCGATCCAATCACTTCGGTTTGATCATGTAATCATCCATTCGGTTTAGATTTTTTTTCAAATCCGATCCGATCCAATCCAATTTTTTTCGGTTTGGATTGGATCGGTTTTCAGTTTTTTGAATATCTTAAAATTAGTTTCATGATTATTGTGCAAATAACATCTTTTGTATATATTGGCTTTGTAAAAAAAAAAATTGAAATACAAAAATATCAGTAAACAATACTATAGTTGATGAGACGTGACTAAGTTTTTCTTTGGGTTTAGTTGATGAGTTAATGGGTCTTGAGTTTAGAAATTTTTGGGCTATGATTGGAGAAAGGACAAGTAGGTAGAGAATAATTAATATATTGGATCGGTTTGGATTGGATCGGTTTTCATCAACCCATCCGAAAACCGATCCAATCCAATTAAAATTTGCGGTTTTCTTTCGGTTTCCGATTTTTCGGTTATCGGTTTTTCGGCTCGGTTTTCGCGGTTTGAATCGGTTTGGATCGGTTTATGAACACCCCTACTCTCGTAGCACTAAAACTCATTATATTATTTATTAAAGTTATAATATATATGATTTTATTTGTTTTATTCTATGTGATGGTTAATGTTACTTAATTTTTTTATTTTTAGTAAAAAATACATATTGATTTTGTTTATAGTCTCTTTTCCAATTTCTTTCTTATTAAATTTTTAGCTATTAATCATATTCCTCTCAAAACAACGAGGGAGGTTGTATTTAAAATTCAATTTCACTTATAATTATTTTTATGGATATTGAATTAAACTAAATCAACGATTACAAAATAATATTAATTGAGAGTCGTTAATTTGATTTTGATCCAATAATCCAAAAAGTGATTATAAAAAAAAAAGTTGTAAATATAATTTGAAAATTGTATTATCCTCTTTAACATATTTTTTTTAATGCCGCTTCTATGGATAATAATTAGATACAGATATCCAAATGCTGGATAAAGCCTATGCATAATTTTAAACTTCATTTTAATTCGTGACTAAACTATAAATATAATATTTTATCACCTATTTAAGTGATGATAATCTTTTGATTGGTCACAAATTATGTTTCAATTAATAAATTAAATACTAAATTTCAAAGCTGGAGACTAAAAAAAACAAACATGTTCTGCAAATAAAAAATCTGCTGGCATAATCAAATCAGTAGGGACAAACTTAATATTACTCATCAATGATCTGAAGCCGCCTTGCGTTTTGTTTGAATTATTTATAATATATGTTCCCATTGATTTATCATTTCATTATTACAAGTACAAATATTCAATTTTGGTTTATACACAACCTTAATGAATACAAGAGGACTTGTTTGTTGTTTTTTTTATTTAATTTCCATGTGCAAATGAATCGCCCTTGGTAATATGCATAAGACTGCAAAGGTTGCAGTGCTGCTATCACATTCAGTATTAGTAAACAATCTAACAAAGTTTCCTACTAGAATTTCTGATTTGCAAGCAACTAGAACAAAAGACCAGAATAAATGTGTATGCCAGCTATAAATGAAAATTAAAAAAAAAAAAGTCAAAATTTTCTGCAACCCTTCAAGCCTTTGGGATATTCAAAACCCGAGAACATTTTTAGTGGAATTTCGGCTGCATTCAGTAACGAATAATATTACCTTTTAAAATGAGATACATGTATTATAAATAAATTATCGATGATGATTAATTCTTTTTCTCACCTCAGCACTTACATGAAAATATGTCAGTATTAATATTTTGTTTCTATTAAATAGGGGTGTGAATATAGGTTTTGACACGCGGGTCGACCCGCGACACGACATGAAAATTCGTGTTCGGATTGACTCGCAAAAAAATTCGTGTCGTGTTCGTGTTGATGTATTCGTGTTCGTGTCGACCCGTATTTTTTTTAAAATTATTTTATTTTTAATTTATTTTTATTATTTTTTTAATTTTTTTTAATATCGATTCATTTTTTTGTCAATTACCATTTTGACCCCTATTTTGCTTGTTATTCGTGTCGTGTCAACCCGCAAAAAATTCGTGTCGTGTCAGTGTTGAAGATTTTGACACTAATAAAAATTTGTGTCGTGTTAATGTTGATGTATTCGTGTCATGACAAATTCGTGTCGTGTCGACCCATTTTGACACCCGTACTGTTAAATGAATTGACGAGAGGAGTTAAAATATTTTCCCAAAACCCAAATTCCACTATCAACTGCAAAAACATTGTACACTAACAGAGGGTGATGCCATGTTTTAAGATTTGCAATTAAGCAATTTTTTTTTCTTCCTTTTCACACAAATAGGACAGGTTGGTAAGTATACCTTATAACAATCTAGATTTGGTTCGGAGTTCCCCTTCTTGGATTGAGGTTGACCCTCACCCTCTCTCTCTCTCTAATCCGCTTCTTGTTTCTCTCTCCTCTTTCTTCTCACTTCTTCACTTTACTTTTGTTAGCTTATTCATTACACTTTTTGTTAACAGCTATAAATGCCACACCTATTCATTTCATTTTTGCTTTACCTTTACTGTTTCTCTCTCCATCTGGTTTCCTCCATTACAAACCAAGCTTCCTTTCCAGCTTGTTTTGGTGGCCCTCATTCTCAAGCACAATACCCACCAACCATTTCCCCCACCTTTCCTTTTCTCTTCTCCAAAATCTAGCATTTTTACTCTCTCTTTATCTGCAGTTTTTTTTTTCTTCTTCTTAAAAATAAGATTTTTATGTGGCATTTCCTTCCATTTTTCTTTTCTTAATACTTACCTTGAGTTCTTTTTGACCCACTTGAGTTCACAATCCCCATTAGTGAACTATTCCTTAACTGCATCATTTTGCAGCATCTGGGGTTTTGTGGGGCTTGTGTTTTCGTTCTGGTATTCCTGCACCTATATATGCTTATTGATTCTCTGTGGTTGCTTCTGTGGGTGCTGGAGATAGAAGATCAAGGAGGGTAACTTAGATCAACTCAAAGGTAAATGCTTTGTCTTTCTGAACCACTTTTTGGACAATTCATATTTGGATTGCTTTATCTTTTATTTGCTTCGATCATACGTGATGCTTTACAAGTTTCCTTTTTCCTGTTAGATTTTTTCTTGTGATTACAAGTTAACGGGTCCTTACTTTCCCAATAATTTATCAATTTAGTGTACCCTTTCTGATTGGGGTGACATGAATGCAAATGGGTTTCTGATTTGTTAATTGCTTGAAATATTACATTACTTTACAATTTTCCTTAATGTTACGGTCAATTAGTGATTAGTTGACTTGCTAATTTTGGTTTTTTATTTATGGGAATTCACTACCAGAACTGAGAATGTTGGCTGTAAATTAGAATATTCAGATGTGTGTGTCAAAACCTTGTGTAAAGGAAGTACTTAACTAGATTCTTGCACTCAGGGGGTAATGTCTTAACTCTGCTATCAGAAGAATTTGGAGGACAAATTTGATTGACTTGTGGCATCCAATTATGTCAGCTAACAGTTCGTTGAATGTGGAATTGTCCAAGAAGACTTCGTTTTTGGGTTTGAGACTGTGGGTTTTGATTGGGATAGGTGTTGGTGGGTTTATAGTTCTAATTCTTTGTATATTATCTATATGGGTGATGTTTCGGAGAAAGTCTAGGAGATCTCTAGACAAGTACTCTTTATCACAAATACCACATGTCTCAAAAGATATCATAGTTGACAAGGTTGGGGTGCAAACTTCTCATGATCAAGCAGAAAGTGTATCTATTCCTGTTCATGACAAGGCAAGTGATAAGAATTCAGAAAAGTTGTTAGTTCATTTAGGCATGAGCAAATCCAGTGATCCTGATAATATCAGTCAGTGCAGCTCAATTTATCATCATGAGAGAGGATTTAGTTCAATGTCAGGGGAAGAAGGAAGCTCTGGGACTGTTAAGAAGCAGTCTACATTGTCACTTGGAGGGATGGTAACTGCCTCTCCTCTAATTGGCTTGCCAGAAATTTCTCATCTTGGGTGGGGCCACTGGTTCACGCTTAGAGATCTGGAACTTGCAACTAAGCGTTTCTCTGCAGAGAATGTGATTGGTGAGGGTGGATATGGAGTTGTTTATAGGGGCAGACTAATTAATGGATCTGAGGTGGCGGTGAAGAAACTTCTTAACAACTTGTAAGGACACTTTATGGTATCAATGGTACCATCTTTAATTTTCTCCTTTGGCGCTTATCTTATTGACATTATTTCATACTTAAACAATGATAATTTACTCTTGCTCCGAACTTGCATTATGTATTGAGTTTACAGGGGACAAGCAGAGAAAGAATTCAGGGTTGAAGTGGAGGCTATAGGCCATGTTAGACATAAAAATCTTGTGCGTTTACTTGGATATTGCATAGAAGGAGTTCACAGGTAAACTTGATGTTCTTTAATGTATCAAAATCTGACAAATGTACATTATCCCTTCTATAATCGATAAAATTTCAAGCTTTGTGTTTGTAGTGTGACTGTCTTATTGTTTTTGGTAAAAATTTGAACAGAAGCTCTTTTCTTTGTTATATGTATCTCTTTCTGTCCTAACGAATGGATTTGCCATCTGATTTGCAGGTTGCTGGTATATGAATATGTGAACAATGGTAACTTAGAACAATGGTTACATGGGGCTATGAGCCAACATGGGATACTCACTTGGGAAGCCCGGATGAAAGTTATACTTGGCACAGCCAAAGCGTAAGTTCAACTTGAAAAATTAAAAAGGTTGACCGTGTTAATCATTTATGCCGTCTTCTGCAAAATTGATCATGATTGTCTTAAATCCCTTACAAATGTGCACATGAAAGTATATTTGCATGCTCCTTAAAGTAATATTTATATGATCAATATTTTATGTGCATTGAGGGCGAGCCTCGGAGTAGAGGTAAGGTTGCTCCTTTTGACCAGAAGGTCATGGATTTGAGTCTAGGAAACAACTTCTTTGCAAAAATTTAAGGGTAAGAATGTGTATAATTGACCTTCACCCATACCCTCTCAAGTCGGGGAGTCTTGTCCACCGGGATTTACCCTATTCTTATTTAATTTTGTGCGCATCAAAATATATCATCAATGTCATTTGAGAGTTTATTTATGTTGATATTGTTATGTTACAGCCTTTATAAGTTCACAAATTTTTCAATATATCCAGGTCCATTAGGATTCTGGACTATAGCACTTTATGTTCTTTATTAATCCACTCCATTGCACCATAAACTTCCTAAACACAGTGAACATGAGACCTAATCCCAAGATTTAATATTTTCTATGGTTTTAAGTTTATACTTGCTTAATTGGTTAATGTTATGGCAATGTCAACATTGGACCTAATCCCACTGATAAAACTCCCTATTTTACTGTGACTGGTGGCAGGCTTGCTTACTTACATGAAGCAATAGAACCAAAAGTTGTTCACCGGGATATAAAGTCTAGCAACATATTGATTGATAATGATTTCAATGCAAAGGTTTCTGATTTTGGTTTGGCCAAACTTTTGGATTCAGGAGAAAGTCACATAACTACTAGAGTGATGGGAACATTTGGGTATGCACTATGCAGAATGTTTCATCATCTTTTTTATTTTTTTTAAATTTAATTTGAAGGATTGCATAAGTGAAATTAATTCTGTTCTCAATTTCAGTTATGTGGCACCAGAATATGCTAATACGGGTTTGTTAAATGAGAAGAGTGACATTTATAGCTTTGGTGTTCTCCTGCTGGAAGCTGTCACTGGAAGGGACCCTGTAGACTATACGCGTCCTGCTAATGAGGTTTCAAATATTTATGATGCTGCCAGTTTTCCACTTCTAACTTCAAAAGTGATCATTGCCTTTCATATAGCTGATGAGATTTTGATTATCCTCATGACAGGTGAATCTTGTTGAGTGGCTTAAGATGATGGTGGGGACAAGGAGGGCAGAGGAAGTTGTAGACTCGAGCCTTGAAGTGAAACCATCAATACGTGCTTTAAAGCGTGCCCTTCTGGTTGCACTTAGGTGTGTTGATCCTGATGCAGACAAGAGGCCCAAAATGAGTCAGGTTGTGAGGATGCTTGAAGCCGATGAATATCCATTCCGAGAGGTTACCATCATTATCTTATCCTCTCATATATGACTTCTATTGTAGGACACTAAAACTTTTATCACGTTTTGCAACTTTTGGATGTTTGTGCATTCTCATTGTCGGCTGACATATCATCAACTAGAATGAATGAAAGATTGACTGTCAACCACATGAAAAACTTTTTGTTTTTTTTCTTAGTTTTCTTCAGGCTATGAGCTTTAGCAATGGTAAGGTTGCTCCTTGTGACCGGAAGGTCAAGGGTTCGAGGTTGAGAAATAGCCTCTTTGTAAAAATACAAGGGTAGGGTTGCATACTGTAACGCCCGGCCGTTTCAAGAATCAATGACTATTTCTACACATTAACACGAGACTTTTTATCACTCACACACTTCTTGAGAAAACTTCTCCGGAGGTCACCCATCCCAGAATTGCTCCAAGTCAAACACACTTAACTATGAAGTTCTTCCGTTATGGGCTACCGAAAAGTAGATGCATCTTGTTAATATAGGTAGTACCAATTAATTCTTATAACCTATCCCCAACTGTGCAGTCTCATACCTGCACAGTCTTTGGAATTCCTCTCTTTCGGGTGTCGATCGATTTATTCATGTATCCCCGCTGGAAGCCTGCCAGGAGCCGCTCCTTGTCTGTACTCTTTCGCACCGGCGATCACTCCCTGCCCTCGTCAGCACCCGGGATGTTACACATACAATCAACCCTCACCCCTATCCTTATAAGTCGGGGAGCCTTGTACATTGGGATTTGCCTTTGAGTTTTCTTTGGCCTATGTAATGACCCTCTGCTCAAATTAGTCACTATACTTTTTGTGCAGATTTTAATGTGGCTGAAAGATGAGGAGATATTGATTTCTTGCCTTTGTTATATAGTACCATTGGGAATATGTACTTTGTACATAGCTTTTTGGTGCATAATATTCTAGTGGGTAATATGAAGAGCTATTAGTATCCGTCTTCACTCTTGAGTGTTGAGGATGACTCTGAATGTTTCCTTAATGTGTAGTTAGTCAGGCTCATGCATTAGGCTAATGATACTATCATAGTATCATGGAATAGCCATATTAGAACAATAATTCTAGTTTTTATGTCTGTTTTGTGTTGAGCTTATGTTTGTGTGAATTTATTGTTTGAACTTGAATGACTAATAATGGATAACCTGTTCCCTAATATCTTTGAATTTATCCTTTGAAGTAATGCCGAAATGCACAGAGAGCTAGGCTAAACAAACGAATAGGGATAGGTAAAAGAGAAACACTCGGTTCTCAATAAACAATATTCAATATTCATATTTCAACAACCTACAAGTAGAGTATTGAACATCCTTTTATAAGGTGTCAAATAACCCTAAAAAGTAATTAAAATATACTTCAAAAAAGGTAAGTTTAAATATAGCTTATTACAATTCAATCAGCATTAAACAAAACTAAAACAATGAAATAATTAAAATTAAATCAACCTAATAGTTAAAAGACCCAAATTGTAACGCCCCGTATATATCCGGTTTGTTATCATATCATCGTATTAAGCCCCGCTTAATTTAAAAATGCGAAATATCTTTTTCTGTTCAATTATGACGTCATTATCATTAGTTAAGTTGAATTACTTAATTCATTTCATAAAACATTGTCTGTATGTAAATTGCAAAAGACACTATCTGAAATACCTCATAACATAGATGTGAGTCTCTAAGTCACGGATCTACAACACGTAGTCCGGACAATATCCTGATACATTATTATTTACAACTAGAAACAAATAGCATAAAGTCAAGTCAAAGTGGCATGGACAATCTCCATGTTCACCCAAATAAGGCAACATAGCCAAACAAGATCTCAACAACAATAGCAATATAATCATAAAGCTAACAACAAGTAGCAACAAGCATAATCCAGCATCCAAGCATAATCATCATATATACAGCAATATCTGCTAAGCTCCGGTCTCCTGCCGCTAGAGGTCTCAACCCCCGCATTACCTGAACCTGAAATATGTGCCCCAAACGTGGGGTAAGATCTCTAAAAAGAAATCTCAGTAAGACAAGGGGTCCTCAAGGATCTTCCACCCCAAGCTCACTTACACGAGCAATATAAGTTCAAAAGCATTTAACAGTATAAGTTCCAAAATTATGCAGTGCAACAGATATTCATGCCATGTGTGTTATCACTATTCTACTGGTCAGATAAATGCAAGACGTACGTCTACAACTCCACAATAAGTACAAGGAACACCGCTTGCACCTCACCCACAACCTCACCCACAACCTCACCCTCTTGTATGTACCACATACTCAGACTTACCGTATAGGTGGAACACCACATGCATATTATAAAGGCACTCGCATATAATAGCTCAACAGCATTTCACAAATCAATATATCATGAAAACAACATCATGCATATAACCATACCCTCATGGGACATGGTGGAACCAACAATGGCTAAACCGAGGACACGAAAGCTTACCTTGCAAGCTAACAATCCAAGCCAAGAGTCCAACCAATCTCAAAGCCCAAACACAGTAGAATCACAATCTGTTTTGGACCAACAATCATATCAATAATCATACTCAACAAGTATAAGACACAAGGACAACGTCTTTCCTTCACGTTTCATGTCTTAAGGCTTCTCACAAAGCCACAAGACCTTAATCACTTGATTCTGACTTAGTTCAATTATTACAGAGGTTCAACTTAACCAATCTAGGGTCCACAAACCCCAAACATCATTCTGTATGAAGAGTGCAACTACTGTTCTTCGAAAACCCAGAATATACGGACATATGTCGGGGCCATATCCGGATATCAATATCCGGATATTCCTCATCCCATATCCGGATATCCATATCCGGATATCCAGAAACCCATATCCGGATATCAATATCCGGATATTTCCAGCCAAATATCCGGATATTTCGCGACAGAATGCAGTTTTGCATTTTCGCGAAGATATCCCTTTAAGGTTCCATTTTTAACACCTTAAAACGTTAAAACATACATCTTTAAGTTCATTTAGGTTCATATACCAGTTGGTTATTTAAACAACTCATTAAACATGCCAAGACTCCACTTTTAAACAATTAAAACTCAAGATCAAGGTAGGTAACATACCCAAAGCTTCAAAACAGAAGCAACAAAGGCTCTTTGAGCTCTCTATGAAGCCCTTCTGACTTCTCAAGGTGCACGAAAATGAGATCAAAGGTTGATCCTTTGCACTAAAGATGGCTTCTTAAAGCTCAAAGTGCCAACACAAAGGCTCCCACAACCCAAACAACCAAGTCAGCTCCAAGACTCACAAAAACAGAATTCCAAACTCAGAAACAAAGCCTCCCACTCAACCCCTATGATCCCTCTCACACACACAAGGCATTTAGGTGAAGAGAAATGGAAGAAAGGTGGTTCCTTGATGATTTCTCAAGGGGAAGGAAGGTGGTAGCAAAGGGAGTCCACACTCAGAATTTTCAAATGCAGGAGGCACAAGAATAGACCTAGGATCATGTGCCAAGGCTATTTATAGTCGGTTTAAACTTAATCGCACTGTATTAGCGCTAAATGCTACGCTTAGCATTTTAATCCCAAACTTAAGATTCTGAACCTACTCATTTTTATAAGATTTAACATATTTTTATTTTATTTTTCGCAGCACCTTTCTGGTACGCGCTTTTCTATAGCCAATATCAGTTCTGGCACCAGTTCTCATTATTTTTAACTTGAAACTCGTTTTACAAGTCCTATATATTATTCTAGTGTCATATACATATTTTTTATAATTTTCCGGAATACTTCATCGGTACGCATTTATACTGAGTAGCAGAACCGATATCTGCACTTTTCGTCCGAAAAACGACTTTTAGCATTATTACTCACTATAATTATCTAAGCCTCATAATAATTATTAGGGTCAATTATGGAATTATTTCCTAATTTCACACATTTAATTAATTATTTTCCTGAATTAACGGTGAAGGTTCTTACACAAATCACGTTTGAAATCTCAGCCTTCCCATTGAAATCAATTCTAATTGCATACTTCAGGGCATCATGAAGTATGCATCACCATTTTCATGATTAGTTATTAGATACTAAATATTATATCTGTTGCCACGGATCCTTGGTCCTCTCTAGCTTTTGTGTGTTTCTGTGTTTTTTTCTTGGGTTGTTTTGGGAAAGGGTCAAGCATACGAGATTTGAACTTATGACCTTTTGCATGTTTCCAACCCTTCACGAGCCCACTTCGAGTGGCTAAAGGTAATTTAATTTAAGCTAAATATCCAGTCAATATCACTTTCAGGATCGAAGGAATAGGAAGAGCCGCACTGCCAGCATGGAAATTGAATCTCTGAAGGATGCTTGTGGTCCATCTGATGCTGAAAAGGTGAAGGTTTCTGAAGGCTATGTACCTGAGACAACAACTCAAGGGTAGGAATTTATAACCAAATAACTTAACCTGCGTGTACAATTGGCTTTGCCTGATTTCAGTAGCCAATCAAATACCATATATATATCCAAGTTTGTCATGAGAAATATTTTTGCTGCATCTGAGAAGAGAATCAGATCAGAGATTAGCTCATTTGGATAAAAAAGCATTTGCTTATTCGATGTGGTCATGAAAGGATATATGATATACACCAAAATTGCAAGGAGGACGGGGTCAGTGCGGGTAAGTGAGTGCTAATGTTAATGTTGTACAGATGTTTGCTGAGCCAATGTCTTCATTGCATGATTGCTAACTTGCACCCGCTTTTGTCTTAGAAAGAGTGGAGATAATGAAAGAGTGATATTTGGCTTCATTGCCCTTACCATTTTGCTTTAAGTTAATCATTATGTATAAGTAGTTCTGAAATGATTGTCTTATTTCCTCCTCAACTTGATTCTATCTCTCCCATTTCAAACAGTTGAGAATATATATGTATGGGAAGTTATGTCCTTTAGCTCAGTTATTTATTTATTTATTTTGGTTGGTATTAGATGTTTCGTCTGTTCTAGTGGTAATAGAAAGACTTGCCAGAAAAGGAATTGTTTAAAAAGCATAATACTCTGAAATAAAGAATTTATATTTTACCAGCAAAATCACTCTTTTGTCGGATGAATTTCACTCTTTTTTTTTGGTTGAATTTCATTTTCGTCATTTATTTGTCGTAAATATTGTATGGGCAAATTTTTTTTCATTTGTTTTCCAAAATTCTGTAGTCAGTAGTTTATCATAAGAATTTCAATAAAGAAGTCTTTATTGAATTGGGTCTTCGTTCATTAGATGAGGAAGCTTTAATTAAGTATTTTTATTTTCGTTTCATTTTTACGTAGTATATTGTAAAGGAATCATATTATTCTACAAGAATGACATTTGTTAGCTTTAGTTTTAGGATAATATATACTTATTTTTTTTAATCTATTCTACTTATTTATTTTTAATACCGTCATATTAAATTTCAACTGTTTTTTATCCTTCTCTCCTTCTGAGATTCTAGTCTCAGTATATTGAAGAGGAGTAGGTAGACTACGTATTAGAATATCTTCCACGATTTTTTATTTTACTTTTTTAATATGCAAAAAAAAAAAAAAAGAAGTTTCCATTGGGAAAACACATATAACACATAATAATTCTAATTTTCTGACATAAGCAGTCCTTTATCCCGTATTTTCCACTCTAACTTTTATTTTAATTTATTTTTAATTTAATTATCTGTTTTAACCCAAAGCTCCTACTTTTTCCGGTTTCTGCTTCCTTCCCTCTGCTATAGAGTGGGACAATTCATATGACTCCAACCATTTATAATGAGCTTACACATAAAATAGTATGATTATTTCAATCACACACAATTACAAATAGAAGAAGAAGGGAAGAAAAAGCTGGAGACATGAACGCTATATTTTTGGTTCAGTAAGTCACTATATTCTCCTCACATCGCTAATTACAATACATTCAGTCACGACATAATATAAATAGGTGACGAAAACCCCAAGCTGCAACACTTATTCATGACCCAAGTCCAAATCACTAAACCATAGAAAATTACAAAGCATCCGAATCCAACAAAGTAGCAGGAGATGAGTGGTCGTCTTCTTGCAAAGTAAGAGTCATCCTTAACAGGAAAATAAAAAAACCAACAAAACACAGGAAAAAGAAAATTAAATAAAAAGGTATATCAGAAATAAAACAACAAAAAGCAATTTGTGAAGTGAATTTGTAAACAACACATTCTTTGCTTGTAAATTAGATATGTCACCTATTATTATTTCTATATACAAATTAATGTATCCCGTTGTGACATTGAGAAAGTAAAATTATGGTGCTAGACTATGATAGTTGTTTTATGTTATTTGCCACTTAAATGTTTTGGTATCCAAGATATGGGTAGGGTTTTAGTCATTTTGAGTTTAACAAAGTTTGTGTCACAACTAATTAAGCAGATGAATTTGTAGAGGCTACTGCTAGTTAGATGGTTGCAGGGCTTGTGTCATAGACTCACACTCTATTCAACTCTAAAGACCATGATTATTAAAAAAGATTTTCAATAATACTATGTTTTTGTGTGCATAACTAAATATAGAAAATAAAATGCACTTGCTACCTTTTTTTATGTATAAGGCTCAATATCACTCATGTTCGTATTGCTTATGGCAAGAGCACATCAGAAGATTATGAATCGGAAACTGTAGTGTAAGTTTTACACTTTACTGACCTCGATTAGCAGGTACCTCTGCTTTACGAAAGTTGTTGAACTTTACCATCAATGTAACATAAAGTTGATCACCCATGTCATCAAGGAACCGATAGTACGTGTGTCTCCATTTCCTAATGAGAAGCAATGAAACACAAATCCCCAAAAAGCCCACTGCAAACCCAACTCCCATCCCAAGATACAGTGACTCTCTTTCTTGCTCACCATCTTCATTCCCTGCATCTTTCTTTGTATCTTTAGGATTCTCTTCTTGTGTGATACACTTTGAAAGAGGAGCTCCACAGAGTTCTGGATTCCCAATATAACTCGATGCGTCAAAACTTTGAAGTTGAGTCCCTATTGGGATTTGTCCATTAAAATTGTTGCATGATAGGTTCAAATAACCAAGAAAAGACAAACCAGCCATGCTCTGAGGAATCTCTCCATAAAGGTTATTATTGGAGAGATCAAGAGATTCCAAATTTTTCATATCCCCAATCTCCTTCTGTATTGTTCCCGTGAAATGATTGTGAGATAAGTTCAATGATTGAACTTTAATCAGCCCAAATAATTCTACGGGAATTATTCCAGACAGGTTGTTAACTGAAAAGTCAATAGTTCTCCTAAGAGGAATGATTGTGTACTCATAATCTTGGCCTTTTGTAAACAAATCGATTGTGCTGGAAAGCCAACTCCCCACATTATCTACATTCATTTGAGTCATGTTATAGACACACTGAGGCAAAGATCCTGAAAGTTTATTGTTGGCAACATCCAAGTGATACAGATCAGAAAGATTGGATAGCTGGGTTGGAATATTGCCCTCAAAATGGTTAGATCTCAATACCATCACTTGTAAATTCGGTGGCATCTTGATCGGTATAGTTCCAGAAAATTCATTTCTTCCAAGATTCATAACTAGTAATTCCATCAAATTCGAGAGGTCCACTGGAACTTCACCGGATAACCTGTTATTCCACAGGTTAATGTACTGCAAGTTATACAGGTTCTCCCAGCTAAGAGGAATTGATCCTGAGAATGAGTTGTGAGATAAACCCACGCGTGAAGCCTTCGGCCATAGATGCGGGAGCCCTCCTGTGAAATTATTATGGTCCAAATATATATAGGAAGAGTTCAGAGTTACATTTGATAAGTCTTCACTGATTGAATTGTTGGACATATGAAGATCGTCAATTCTTGCTATGAAGCTCCTAAACATATCTCCATCTGTGGATGAAATTCCGGTGCTTGATATACGTAGACTTTGGAGTGACTTCTGTGTATATATCCATGACGGGAATTTGGGACCTTGGTTTGTATTTCCCAAAGAAAGATGACTAAGTTGAAATGGAGGAATCCATTCAGGACCCAAATGGAATGCAAAAGTGGAATTGCTCAAGTCCAGCTCTTCTAATTTAGAGAGTTTTGAAAAAAATGTTTCAGATATTGCACCAGAGAAGGAATTAGAGCCAATACTTAACAAAAGTAAGGACGAGAGATTTCCTAGTGTTGAGGGAAAGGAACCAGAAAACAAGTTGTCTGATAGATCAAGGTACTGCAGATGCTCGAGTTGGCCAAACCAATTAGGAATTGATCCTTCGAGCTTGTTCAATGATAGATCAAGGTATTTCAGATTTTGTAGGTTTAACAAACTCCAAGGTATTTATTTCACCGTGTATACTGTTATACGAAAGGTCGAGATAGGATATGTCACTGCTGAGATGAAACAACCAGTATGGTAATTCAGAGTTGAAATTGTTGTGAGAAAGATCAAGAGTTACAAGTGAAGTAAAATTCACATACTCAAGAGATGGGCTGATCATGTTCTTCAGCTTACAAAATCTCAATCTTAACTCTAACAATGAAGGAAGCACAGCCACCAACTCAAGCCAGTTGGTTTCTTTGGGAAGATCGTTATCAGTTATCACTGAGGTTGAGATATTTCAAGGAAGAAAGTCGACAAAGCCAGTGAAGATTATCAATGTGAAGATTATAAATAGAGGATAAGTCAAGGTAATGAAGGTTAGAGGCAAATGTGACATTGTTAGGAGTAGGTGGAATACTTATAACATCAAAGAATTGGTTGTTCAAATCCAAGTAATTCAAAAATTCAAGTTGTAGCAAAGATAAGTTTATTTCACCTTCCAAACTTCCTCGAATTCCCCTTATTGAAAGATCAAGCTTTGTAACCCTGCCCGTAATGTTGTCGCATTGGATTCCTATCCATGCGCAACAATCTTCTTCGTTTGACCATGTGGAAAGTAGGTCGAAACGATCGATGATGCCTTGTTTGAAGTTTAAGAGTGTCTCTCGATCCTTCTCGTTGCAACGAACCAACCTGTGATTACTACACATGCTTATGTGGAATGTTGATGCAGATAAAAACAAAAGAAAAAGAACTGAAATTTGTGAAGTGAAAGTGATCACCATGGTTGATGGAACAAGAGAACAAGGATTGATTCAAATGGGATTGCTGGGTGATGTTTAATTCCGACTTTGCAAGATCAGAGTCTAATTATATAGATTGTTGGCTTATAGGGATGGCTCTGAACGAAAAGACTTGGAAAAAGCAAGGAAGACTTACACGATGGGATACGACCGGTCATACACTACATGATGATTAAAGTATGACCGGTCGTATTTAGTGTAATTTGTATTTGTAAGAGTTTGTAAACAAAAAAGTTTGTAAATATAACCTGTCTCACGTTCGATTGTGGCCAAATTGTTTTAAAGTTATTCTGATTAGTAGGACTCCATTATTGTATTCTTGTAAAAATATTCATAATGTACTAGACAACTCTCTTTTTGTCTCTCTCTCTTCAACTAGAGTGGTATTTTTAAATATCCCTATATTAAGAAGATATGATCCAAGAAAAAAAGTTGACTACTTTTCTGGTGGCGCAAGGAAAGGACCAGTGGCTTTTGTCATTTTCGGTGGCTTTTGTATGCATATGCTATACAAAAGAGCAGCAACGCGTTTACAACCTCTTTCCTGTGGACCCGAAATATCAAATTGGTGATATGTGACAGCTGAAATTCCTTTGTGTTGTGTTTTTTGTGCCTCTGTATTTTCTGCGTCCATTCTTGTGCTTTTGATACATAAGTCATTGTTGCTTGGGTGCATTCTAGTGCTTTTTCAAATTACTGTTAAGAATATTCATTAACAGAAAAAAAAGAAAGGACATAAAATCAGAAATACCTTTTTAAAATCCATCTAACGGAAAACGAAATACCAAGTAAAGACACAAAATTGAGTGTACGATAAATTTTGCTTTGTTCAACTCATATTCTACT